TCTGTCAGGGTTCATCCACCACCATACTACTCTACTGTAAAGTAGACTTGCCCTGGGGCCCTGGATCCCTTTCTCTTACTAATGTTCCTATGAAGAACGTAGCCCTAACCCTTGGAGCAGTTTCCTGGCTTCTGCAGCCTTCTTTCTTGTGGTTGCACACCTACATGTCCAGCCGTTGCTCATGGGAAACACGACATGCTCATTTTCCAGCCTGAGCTCAGTGCACAGTCCATTCGTCCATTCTTTACAGAGCTCGCCTCCTTCTTTTGTGTTCTACACTTCAACAAATAGCAGGAGGGCCCACCTTGCCCCTGATGTCAGACATGAGAGACGGTCCTGGCTTCTCCTTCTTTACCTTGTATCACCAAGACTTCGAGTTCTGACCCTTCCAGTGGTTCTCCCCTCCCCCATGACACCAGTGGCTCCCTCCTTCCCATGCCAGGGCCACCACAATCACTGACACCCGACCTTAGTGACCTCCTCTTCATACCTTAACCAAGAGCCCCTCCCACTTTGTTTTTCTGTCTCTAATTTTGACTCTCCACTAATCTTTGATGCTTTTCAAATGGAAAATGATCATGTCACTGACCCAAATCTTTATTTCCTTTAAAGAAAAACCCAGTCCTTAGGCTCTTTGTAACCTTGCCCTAGCACCGCTCAGGCTTCACTTCACTCTCTTCTACGTATGTGGCTGTACATATTCAGCCAGCATCAACTACTACCCATATAACAGTTGCTTTCTGTTGCCTTTGTCTACCATCCAAGATATCCTTTAATGGAGAGGAGGCCCTTCCCCCTCACACCCACCCACCTGGGCATTCCCTTGTTTCCAATTATGAAAAGCTACATTAGGGTAGCACACTGTCACTGTTCACTAAATGTTGCCCCTAGGCTGAGGGTGGTGGTGCACGCCTGTAATCCCAGCACTCAGGGAGGCAGAGGCAGGTGGATCGGACAGCCTGGTCTACAAAGTGAGTCCAAGACAGCCAAGGCTACACAGAGAAACCCTGTCTTGAAAAAACAAAAACAAAACCCAAATAAAGTTTGCCTTATGTCAATATTGCCCTTTCCATTTAAAACCCCACCTTTAAAATGTTCTTTACAGCATGGGAGATATCAATATCCATATCTGTTAACACATTATTGCTATTATTATTTGAGACAGGGTCTTGTGTTGCCTAGGCTGGCCTTGAACTCATTATGCCACCAAGAATGGCTTTGATTATCTCACCCTTTTCCTCTACTTTACCAGTGCTGAGGTTATAGCCGCAGGACACTGCATTTAGTTTACACTGCATGGGAACTGAACACAGGGCTTAGTTCTAACACTAAGTATTCTACCAACTGAACTATATCTCCAGTCCCTACCATTACACATAATTCATTCTGATTCTCACTAAACTTTTAGACAAACTGCCATCTATAAGTGAGCAAACAGCAGCTCCTGGTGTTCCCAAAGTGGTACCTAGGAATAGAGACTAATAAAAAGACTGGAAGCTGTCCTCTCAGGTACTATCCCGCTCAAGCCACTAGGGACAACTAAATCCCACTCTCTCCTGAAGGGACAGCAGAAGCCACATGCTGTGGGTCAATATAAAAGAAAACAAAGGTGTACTCAGAGGTTCACAATCCAAAAACAAAACGAGAGAGGACTGTTACAAGAAAGTGTAGTTTCAGAGCTAAGTGCTCCACTGTGGAGTCCCTCTACTGGGAAATAAGTTCATTCAGTGGGCATGAGGTTACTCCTGGAAGATGTGCTGGGGACCCAGGAACAACGGCCAGATCTGGCAGCATGATTACACCTTAATATGGATAAGGAAAAGAGCAGAGACATGCATTCTGGAAGTCTAGCGGTTTGAGTATAGTTTGTAACAGGCTTGGGACAACACAAAAGCAGATATAGAAATAAGGTTGTAGTCTGCCTTTGACTGAGCATCTTAATGAATTCTGAAAGTAGCAGAGAACTGAAAAAAGACCCAAACTATGCTAATGAAAAAAAAAAAATCTTCAAAGCAAAAATAAAACAGTTCTCCCAGTTATGACAGTGGGAGCAGGAGACAGAACAAAAATTCTTAAAAGCAAAAGAATTTAAAATGGTTCTCCCAGTTATGATAGTGGAAGCAGGAGACAGAACCCACATGCTCAAGTGACGTAATTTTGGCTGTCCTATTTGTGCTAAATAAAGTTAACCTCTAAGTTGTCTTTAGTTTTCATTCTGAGAGTGGCCAAGAGATCTAAGAAAAAGAAAGGCTGCACTTTTTATGTCTTCTTCCTGGCTACCTTGTTACTCCCCGCTAAGGCTGCTTTGATTTGCTACCTGGAGTAACACATCAGGTAAGTAATGATGTCACTGCTCTGTGCACAAAGAAACTTGGAAACTTAAAAACAAAGCAAGAAACCCTACAGAGTGTTTTTTTTTTCTCCTTTGACTCCCAATAACAATACTGAACACAGTAGCCAAAGGAAATAGACAGAATAGAAGAAAAAACAAAGTGACAACAAAATCTTTATGGTTCAGTTCCAAGCCCTATCCCAGGAACAGTGTTCTGGCCATGAGCATCTTCTCTGATGGTAAAACACATCCCTACCCCGAAGTTCTCACCCACTGAGCAAGTACAGTGTGCTAGGTGCTAGGGAGGAAATGTCATGATGAATACTGTCCCTCCTTTGGACATTTCAGTGCCTTTCCCTCCCCACTTCTACCTCCTAGCCAGATGTTTCATTCAAAGGTATGACATCCCCGAAAAATCTGGCTTTCACAGTTAGCTGTCTTTATATAATGAGACTTCATCAATGCCCATTTAAAGGATGAGGTCTCTTCTAAACCTCTACAAGGTCCCTCCATCAATTCCTGTCTCCACTCTTCCAATCTTAAACTCCACAGGTAGTCACGTGTTCAGTCTTCATTTACCTCAGCAAGGAGATCTGCCACTCTTCTTAAAAAAACAAAAAAGTACCTCTACACCAATATCTAGGCTACTGTTTTTGACAGTTTAACTTTACCTCTGTGGGGGGAGAGGAGGGGTGGGCGCAAGTGGGTGTGTCGGCAATGCCAGGGTTTTTTGTGGCATTTGCTGTTTCATTACTGACAGGCATGACCATGTCTTGGATGAGAAAGCTTCATTCTGATTTTGTTTACGAGAACCAGGGTTTGGGAAACACTGCACACAGAAGCACCCAGAGTCTTATCTCTGTCTCTTTCCTTCTCTAAGCTTCAGGGACATTATGGAAAGGTCTCATGATAGGTTTACTTTCCAGCCTTAATTTCTTAATTTAGTACTTTAGCTTAGGATGTATGAGTTCTCCATAAATCACACTGCTTGTCAACACCCACACATAAGCCTCCTTGCTTTGACAATCACCCTCAGAGACAGAGAGGGAAGCCTAATTTGGCAGAATATAATAAATGTCTATTTCCATCACAGAATAGATGCTTCTCCTCTTCAACTAAGCTTTGGATGATCCCCTTCGGGAAAAATAATTCTCCCGTGTCCTTGACACCCACAGAGTAGAAATATTTCTACTGGCAAAGATGAGTAATCACTTACATGACCCCAATAGGGCTAGCTGGCCTTCCATTTTTCTCTAGTACTGTCTATGGCATCGGTAGGAATTGATGGAGGGACTTTAATCTCCAGACCTGAACGCTAAATCAATCCTACAATTTCCCCTTGTCCCTCTTCGCTTTCTCATTCCCTTCCTTATCTCTTCTCCATTTTTCTTCCTTCCAGCTTTTTTTTTCTCTCTCTCTTTCTCCTTAACCCATGACGCCCGATGGGGTTTGAAATTTTTACAGCATATCAGATAAAAGTCCCTTGTGATTTTCACACCTTTCTTAAAGCAAAACCTGGATCAGGGTCTTTGAAACCAGTGTCCTAGATAGTTTGGCTGATTCAGTGACACCCCTCCCCCAACAAAACAAAACCAAACCAGGAGGCTTTTTAACACACACACACACCAAACTAAACCAATCAGCAAGATTCCACGCGGAGCCCATGCCCTGAAATGTGATAGGTTGACAGTGGAGATGACAGAGCAGGACTGGAGAAGGAACTGCCCAGGGTTCCAGGGGACAGGCTTGGCTTACTATGGAGCCAGGAGCTTTCACACTGAATAGTCCCACCCTCACCTAGGCCAAAGCGGTCGGACACCCCCTCTCTGGAACATGCCGGACATGCAGTGCAAAGGGCGAGTCCTCCAGGAGAGGTAGAGGGCACCCAAACCCGGGAATCCTAGAGTCAGCCTGGCCTTGACTTGGGGCGACGTGGAATCCATCCTGGAAAGGAGCTGCCGGGGTTCTCCAACCCAAGAGGGGGACATCCTCACCCGGTGCGTCTCCGGGGCAATGACTTGGGGCAACATCCTAGAGCAATGGACCCTCATCCTGGGGAGAGGCAGCTGCCAGTCAAAGGCAGGGTCCTCCATCAGGAGCAGAGGCTATCCTGACTCTGGTGTCTCGGAGTCATCGGGACCCTGACCTGGGCCGATGCCAGGTGCAGGGGAAGCCCCGACTCTAGTTGGGTTACTGTGGTGCAATGGCCGGGTCCTCCAGCTGGAGCAGGGTCTATTCTGATTCTCGCTTGGGCGTCTCGGGGGACATCCGGGCCTTAACCTACTCCGGTCCAGACAGACGCTCTCAGCCCAGAACTGCGGTGCTCCCTCCCGAGCTGGGGCGCCCTCACCCTCAGCTGTGCCGGGTCGGGCGGGGCCGCAACAGGTGCGGGGCCTCCCTGCTCGCCCGCCGCCTGCCCTGCCGTTACCTGCAGTGGCGGCCGCCGCGGCCGCAAGGAGATGGGGCGGGGGAGGTGGGTCCCGAGCCTGGCCGACACTCCCGTGCTCCGACAGACGCCGGCGGCGTCTCCCCAACTCCGGACGCGGCCACGCTGGAGCCGCCGCCGTCCCCAGCCCCTACACCCTGCGCCACTCCCGCCCGTGCACGGCTCTGCGTTTCCACGTCACGTCACTTTTTGGTCCCTCCCTCTCGCCGTCCCCCGGGCCCCGCCCTCTCCCGTCCCCCGGTTGTCAGGGCAACCCGAACGACGCCCGCGGAGGAACTACAGGCGTTAGGAGGGCGGCGCCGCCAGGGCTCGGCCCGAGGGCCCCTGGGAGCGTCTGACCATGGAGCCCCACAGTAAGCAGCGGGCTGGACCCTGGGGTGCGGGCAGAGGTCGAGCCCGCCGGGCTAGGCCTCGAACCCGTAGCTATACGATCCGCAGGTTCCACCGAGCACTGCTAACAGCCTTAAGATAGTACGGGGTTCACTAATGGTGAATAGTGCTTCCTGCGGTTTAAAGAACCTGGGAGGAGGCTGGGTCTTGTATTTTTGCGATCTTGCCTCCCTTCGACCTTACCCCTAAAGTCTGCGGTACATATAATTCACGTGCGTTCTCCCAGCGTAAGGCACACAACAAACGTTTCCCATTTCTGTTTGTCTTTTAAATTCCCCTGTTCTTTGGCGCTTGGAGGGGCTGCGCGTGCGCAAGTGTTTGCACGGTTGTATGGAGGCCAGAGGGCAAGCGCTGGTGTCATTTCTTAGATGCCATCCACCTTGGTTTTTAAATTTTATTTTATTTTAATGTGCCTAGGTGTGTGTCCGTGCACCACTTAAGTGCCTTGTGCCTACAGAGGCCAGAAGATGGAACCAGATCCCCTTGAACTGGAGGTAATAGCCGGTTGTGAGTAGGCATGTGGGTGCTGGGAATCGAACTTGGGTCCTCTGGAAGAGCAATCAGTGTTCCTGATAGTTGAACCATCTCTTCAGCCTTGCACCTTGGATTTGGAGACTGGGTGTCTCACTGGTCTAGAGCTCTAGTTAACTAGGCTAAGCAAACGGGCCGGCTAGAAGCCCAGACGTGCTCCTGTCTCCAGCTCCCTGGGGCTGGAACCACAAATCACACCACCACACTTGACTTTCTACGCAGGTTCCGGACATCAAACTCAAGCTCTCATACTTTCCACAAACATTGATTTGTTTTTGATTTTGCTTTTTTAACACTCCAAGTCTAGTTTGTCTCACGCAGACCAGGCTGACCTTGAATTCATGGCAGGCTTCCTGACACAGCCTCAGCATTCTAAAAGGGCGGGGCGGGGGGTTGGGGGGTTGACAACTTTGTTTTTCATTTTGTTTTGTTTGAAACATGGTCTTGCTATATCTCTCTGACTAGCTTGGAACTCACTGTGTAGATCAGGCTGGCCTCAGTCACAGGTCCACCTTGCCTCCGTTTATGGAGTGCTAGGATCAAAGGTGTGGGCTACCATGATCAGAGTTGTGTCTGGTATATGGCTAAGGGTATGTGGTTTATAGTTGCTAGAAATGAGAGGTACTGGAACTCATTGGTCTGTTGATTTTTTTTCCAACCTCTCCAGGAACTTTGCCCTAGGTTCCTCTTTTCTCCTCCCCACCCAAACTATTTTATTGCCTCCTTTGTTCTTAAAACAAATACACCATTTGACTTAAAGACTTCAAAGAACTTAAACCTTTGTAAGATTCAGTTTTGTATGGGGGGGGGGGGAATCAAATTGTCTTTTTTGCATAATTTCAAAAATAAAATACTTAGACAAAAATCCCATGTTCCTTAGGGGAAAGTCTGGCATTTAAAAAAAAAATTCATTTCTTAATAGCAAGAAAAAAAAATTAAAGGCTTTCTCTCCTTTTACTTGCTGAAGAGAAAGCCTACAAGTTGGGTGTCACAGTTGCTTGGATTGGTAGGATTTTTATGCAATATCTGTCATTTGTGTTTAAAAACTCATCAGATTGTACACTTTATCAAACCTGCTGGGAAAAAAAATGAACATACAGCAAAGCTAGAAGTTTTAGACTCATACCACTGGTGGAATTGTCTAAATGGTGTGTGTGTGTGTGTGTGTTGGGGTAGGTTGGGGGGGGGTCTCATGTATCCCAGGCTGGTCTCATATTCACTATGTAACCGAGGATAACCTTGAACTCTGATAGTCAGAATGCTGTGGTTATAGGCCTTTACCACCCCCAGGTGTCCCTGAAGATAGAATATTGATTTGGTGGTTTATAGACAAGCCTTCTTCCAACTTAGCTACATCCTAAGCTGTGAAATAACTTCTAAAGACAGCATCTTCATTTCTGTACATTTGTGTTATTGTTTAAAGGTGTAAAATGCAAACTTCAGACTCTCAGTGCTCAATGTTTCTGTCTCTGTTCTCTTTCCTGGTTCCTACTGAATAGGAAATGGGGATCAAACACACAGCACAGTGCCTATGTGGGCCATCTCAAGAGATGCACCAGTCCAGAGACCCACTCAAGAACTACTGAAACCTCCCAGGGACTGAAACTGGGAAAAGAGAGAGATGGGTATCCAAGAGAAAGTATGAAGTAGCTGACCTGTCCAGTTAACCTGGTTAAGAATGAGGAGAGGTGATTCCCATCAGATTTCCCTGGTACATAGAAGAGGTCCAGGAGCAGGGCAAAATCATGTAGTCAACAAGAAGAGACTGTTTGGGTAGGGAGAAAACAGATGAACCTGAAAAACTGAACAGAGGCTAGACCAGGAAGGCTTTCAAAGCGATATCATTACATCCAGGGAAGACGGGACAGGAGGAACTTCTTAGTTAATTGCCTGAATTCATTCCCCAGAACCCACATAAATGCTAGATGGACATGGCCACTGGCCTGTGATCCTGGCCTGAGAAGGCAATGACAGTGACTCCCCAGAGCAAGGTGACTAGCTGTTTGGGCAAGTTCTAGGTATGCTTGAGAGCCCCTGCTACAATGACTAAGAAAAATGGCCAAAGAAGATTCGACATCAACCTTGGACATCCATGAGCACAAGCATGTACCCACACAGTATGTGTACCCACACATATAATTATTCACACTTATATATACACCGTACGCATAGACACACGAAAAAGTACATTTTAAATCTGACACAGGGTCTCACTATGTAATCCTGGCTGACCTAGAATTCTCAGAGATCTACCTACTTGTGCCTCCCAAGTGCTGGGACCAAAGACATGTGCCACCATATCTGGCTAATACAATTATTATATCCATGTCTCTGTTTGCTTCCCATCCCATTAGATTTAAAGCAGAACATACACCCAAGTCACATGAGTTAAATGAAATTCATCTCCTTTCACACATACTAAAATGTTTTGTATTAATTTTAGATAATTCCGAAATCACCTTATGAAATCTTTCACACTCTAATAAACACCATTTTAGATGATCATGAACTGTGGTCAGATATTTAAAAGGACAGTCTAATCTCTAAGGTCTCTGTCAATGTCAATATTTGGACCCAACCAGATCTCATCCCAGGCAGGAAATGGTTGATTCTTTCAGAGGTAAAAGAAGCATAGTGGATATGATACTAACTAGTGCTAACTATAAATAGTTTTAGTCATACCATTAGTGGCATTGTAGCCATATTAAGTTGTCAGGGCAGGGTTACAGAGCACCTTTGAAGCCTGGTGTATACACTATTCCTTCTGCTCCTTGAGGGGTTTCAATAATACAGGAGTGCTTTTATGTAGCCTTGGTAAATTGATTAAGAGGAAGGATCTTTCTTAATTACTTTTAAGAATTAGTTGTATATCTAAGGGCAATGCCAAGGAACTACTAGAAATAACCTGTTAGTCCAATAGTTTCCACAGTCTTAGCTTCCTATTACTTTTAGTAATGACCCCTGTTAGTTGAGTCATTAAAATCCAATAAACACAAACCTCTCAGACCCCACAGCTGGCTTAAACTCTGGCACTAAGCAAAGGATGTTGGGGGCTTCCCCTGGGCTACAGAATAATAGCAAGGTAATGAGCCAAGAAATGATTCCCCAGGGAAAGGGCAAATGAGATCAGCTCATAACCTTGGGTTGCTCAGGGTGGCTTGGAGTCTTGGCTTGCACATTTACCTCTAATTACTTTCTTCATAAACTAACTTCACTACTAGGCGGATAACCTCTGTATAAAATTACAGGGGAATGTATGCCTGTTTTTGTTTTTTGTTTTTTTAAATCATTTAAACTGGTTGTTGTGGTGCACACTTTCGATCCCAGCACTGGGGAGGTGGAGGCAGGTGGATGTCTGTGAACTCCAGGCCAGCCAGGACTATGTAGTGACATCCTGTCCCAAAACAAACAAACAAAATATCAAAATTCTTTAAATTCCAACAGTACTATCCCTTCCCTAATGTCTAATACCAGCACTGGATTGGGGACTCTGTGGCACATTTAGAATAAACAGACAAGCCTGAGGAACTCCACAATCTGAATATAGTCTATGCATAATTATCAGATGCAAAAGTAAATTAGTTTATCAAATGGAGCCCCTCCCTCCAGCTTCTGCTCCCTCCATACCCTGGGTCAATCACAAATACTGTCTGTGCTTTGAATATGTGTCAGGCGGATGACATATTCACAGGCTGTTTCATTTTCTTTGAAAATAAAATTTACATGATTATATCTGCATATATAATTTCTTTTCCTATACTCATACCTACACAATGTATCCTGAAGTAGGCCAGGCCACAAAAGCTAGGAGTGAGCCAGGCTGAGCTGGGCACAATGAGGCATGCCTGTAATCGCAATGCTCAGAAAGGCAGAGGCGGGTGGATCTCTGAGTTGGAGGCCAGCCTGGCCTACAAAGGGAGTCCAGGACAGCCAGGGCTACACAAAGAAACCCTGTCTCAAAAAACCAAAACCAAAACAAACAAACAAAAACAAAAAGCAAACAAACAAAGCAAGCAAAAATCAAACCAAAAAACAAAACAAAACAAAACAAAACAAAACAAACCCACGATAACAAGGACAAGACAAACTCCAAACAGATGTAAATGGCTGGACTTACTAAGGGGCTGGGCCTCACACATGAGGGGAGTGACTCCTTTCTCCAAACCTGCTTGTCCACTGTCTCCGCCATCTTCCTACTCACTCCAGCTTGAAGTTGGAGTCACCTTGGATTCTTGTTGCCACACCAACCCTCACACATGCCCTTGCACCAGCATGTAAGCTTAGTCCACCTCGGAGGTATACCCAGGGTGTGCTCTCCTTCCTCCCTTGCCGGCACCAGTGCCACGTCCTAGAACCATGACTGTATGCTCTACTGATGTCTGCAGTGGTTCGGCGTTCTTTCTATGGGCCAGCTGCCCCTCACACATCACCC